GCCTGCCATCTCACCCACTGATGGAGATGATCTGTGTGAGGCAGATGTCCCCAGTGTGGCCATTCACAGTGTGACACTGCTCATCTGCCTCTGTGGGCTGGCCGGGAACGGGGCTGTGCTCTACCTCCTCCAACTGAAAATTTGTAATGATGGCATCTTCACCCTGGCTGTCATTGACTTCCTCTTCCTTCTCCTCACAGTCCCCTCTGCCCTGCTCTTCCTGGTGGAGGACATGTCCTGCTCTCCTCTTGTGCCCCTACTGTATTTAAATTTTCTTTTCAAGCTGTCAGTGCTGTCCTACTACTGGGGGCTGTACTGGCTGATGCCCAATACCCCTGTGGTGTATATGGAAAAGATCTTCCAGCTCTGCTGCCGCTGTGAACTTCCTCAGCGCCTGTTTTGGGTGCTGGGCAGTGTTCAATCCTGGGCCTTCTTTGCTCTCTTCACTGTCCTTCCCACGGTGACATCCCTGTGTCCATCAGAGGAACAAGGGCACTGCCAGGCAGCTCTTATCTCCATGTACACCATCATCCTGCTCCTCTTTGTTGCACCCATGGTCATTTCCAGCACAATCGATTTCATTAAGGCCAAGTGGGGCTCCCAGCAGCAGCAACCCAAGAGGCGTGACATCGTTATCGTCCTCATTGTGCTCCTCACTCTCCTCCTCATCATCTGCGATTTCCTGCAGCAGCTAGGTTACCTCAATGTACCCTCCCTGGTTTTTTCCCTGTTCCCCTGCATCAACAGCAGCATCAAACCCTTCATCTACTTCTTGGTGGGGAGGTGCTGGAGGCCCTGCTCTGTGGGGTCCCTCCGGCTCTCCCTCCAGAGGGTCTTTGAAGAGCAAAAAGAAAAAAGTGGCAACACAAATGATCCCACCATGGACACAATGATCTGAGTTTGTTGGTAGCTTGCCCTGTACTGCTGAGGGACCCTGGAACTGTGGCTGAGGGATTCCTTAAGTCACCTGAATAATAAATATCCAGAGTGTCACCCTCCCTGTGCTGGTGCATCCCCCACCCCCTTTCCAGCCCACACCGGGCTCTGATCCGTGCTTGGGAGGCCTCAGCCTTGAGGAGCAGCCCCTGGGCTCAGCTCCTCTGGCGCTGATCACAAACACCCTCTGCTCCCAGGAACTGCTGCTGTCCAACCACCTCCTGGGCTTTTATCAACAGCCTTGGCAATTCTTTCACTTCCCTGGATGCCACAGCATCCCTGCTCTCACGCTTCCACAGCGAGTTGCCGGCCCCCAGGGTGGCCGGAGTGAAACATTGCTGTGGCTGAAGCCCATCCCTTGGGCCCTGTGAGCAGGGCCAAAAGGAGCCCCTTGGAGCTCTCCTGGTTCCAGCAGCACTGAGCAGAAGCTCCCTGGCCCTGGGGCCTCTCCGAGCTGGGATCTCTCCGTCTGCTGCCCTCGGGTGATCCCCGAGCGCCGGCGGCTCCTGGGCCGATCCCCCAGGGCTGGAGGCCCAAGCCTTGGCACGGTGAGGAGATGCCAAGGGATCCGCAGGGAGTATTTGCCTCCTATCCACTGTAGACCTGCTAATCTGTTTCTGCACTGGCTCCATCCACATTTAGCATCCTGTGTTCTCCTGAGGAGTGGATAAGGGGCTGGGCTTTCCTCCCCACTCCTGGGTCTTAGAACAATATGGCTAGGATGAGGAGAGACACTGCCGGCGGTCCTTGGTGGAGCGGTGCAGGATCACAGCTGTTGGGTGGAAAAGGGGGCCCTGGCGACAGTCTGGGGTGTTGGAGGCGATTTTGTAGGGCTCAGGAGACAGTCAGAAGGGTTGGACAGGGTCTGGGTACCAGAAACCCCAAATCTCCCCACTGGAGGACAGCAGAGACTGATAGATCACGCTTGGAGCAGAGGAGTGACTGCAGTCTGGGAAAGCTGAGAGATGTGATAGGATGGGATGAGGATGGAGAATGGGGTGGGGATGGGGAGCAGGAATGAGGATGCAACGACGGGGATAGAATGGAGAGCAGCTCAGCGCAGTTTGGCTCTGAGCATGTTTTGGCAATGATCATGGAGGTATTAACATATTGGGAGTTGATTCTGAGAAGCACACAGCTGTTTCAACAAGACTGCCAGCGTTGCCAGCATTCCCGTGTCACCAGTACCTCCAGTATCCCTCTGCTGCTGAAGGGACAATGACCCCTCAGGGAAGAGAAACAAGGAAATGGTAGAAACCATTCCCTTGTGGGGAAGGGAAGGCAGGCAGAGAGTGGACATTCTCCTGGGAAGCAGTGTTTCTAATCCAGAAGAAATGAGGAGCCATTCACAAAGACGAAGACTTTTTTCTTTTTTTTTTTTTTTGGTTTGTGCCTAAAACTCTAAGCCTGTGAAACTCTGACCCAGCCGAAGTTGTAAAACCACTTCTGACAGCCTTATGACCCCAGTGAGTCTTGGGGAGCAACACCAGCAGAGGGCACAGAAGAACAGGAGTGAGTGAGGAGCTCCTGGTGATCTGGGGACATTCTTCTGCATGGTACAGGCCTGAGAGGATCCACTTCATGATATGGATCCCAAAAGAGCAAAAGGTACCAGGAGACATGGCTCATCTGGAGCTCATCAGACCCCTTTGCCTGCTGCTGCCCCACAGGGAACAGGTCAGTGGAATATTTTCCTTCCTCCCTGCCCCACCTTCCTCTCCTCCAGCAGCTGCTCTGTTCCTGCCACCCTCTCCCAGTGACCCCAGTGCCCTCCCCAGCTCCTCTCTCTTCTCCTGTGCATCCCAGCTGTA